CCACGGGTGCACTAGTGGGCTACTACGCTCGGGAGGCTGCTGTGGGTCCCTGGCTGACTTCCCCCAACAGATGGTTCTGGTTTTCTCCTGACCATGGGAGGAGAACAGAGCTGAGATATGTCTGCCAAAGTAGGCCTGGTGGGAGCAGATGCCGAGGACACAGTCTGCTCTGGGGGCCAAGTCACAGCCTGTGAACAGAGGGAAAATAAATTAATGTTCACGTTTATTTAGTCCCCTTCTTTACCTTTTGTGCTTCATCCTGTTCCTGGACCCTTGCCCCATAGATGGCTTTGGGCTGCTGCAGTTCTGCTGTAGGTGAAAGACTACCTCACTAAAAAGGGATCTTGTTTACTGCAGCATGAATTATGGAGTTGGGGACTTTGATAGTCCACAGCTCCTCCAGGAGTAAATCCCTTGCAGTTTGTGCCCATAAAGAGGAAGCAAAGGAGGATGTCGTCTCCCTGGAAATGGCTGTGTGCACCCTTTCTCTTAACACTGTCATTATGTGCTTATTTGCAGTAGCATTCATGGAAAAACTAAAAGGAAACTGAGTTCCTGTTGTAAGATACCCCATATAAACACTAGCAGGAAGGCTGACTGAGGTAAGCAAACAGCAAACAAGTTTGCTGGTTAACTCACAAGTTAATTTTCACTTAAACAGCATTTCAGGTTTGCAAGTGAAAGAGTTGCTTGAATGGTAAACAATAGGGGTAGGTCAGCTGTCTAGTACTGTATGGGTTTGCTTTCCCCTTTATTCAGCACTGGTGAGGCCACACCTGGAGCGCTGTGTCCAGTTCTGGCTCCCCAGTGCCGCCGAGGCACAGGCATACCGCAGAGTGTCTAGCAAAGGGCCACGAAGACCGTGAGGGGACTGGAGCCTCTGTCCTAGGAGGAAAGGCTGGGAGAGCTGGGACTGTTCAGCCTGGAGAAGAGGCGGCGTGAGTGGGGGAGAGGGGGATCTTATCAATGTGTATAAATACCTGAAGGGAGGGTGCAAAGAAAATGGAGCCAGGCTGTTTTCAGCGGTGCCCAGCGACAGGACAAGAGGCAGTGGGCACAAATGGAAAGGCAGGGGGTTCCCTCTGAACATCAGGAAACACTTTTTTGCCGTGAGGGTGACTGAGCACTGGCAGAGGTTGCCCAGGGAGACTGGGGAGTCTCCCACCTTGGAGATACTCAAAATGCCACCTGGACACGGTCCTGGGCAGCTGGCTGTAGGTGGCCCTGCTTGAGCAGGGGGGGTTGGACCACATGACCTCCAGAGGTCCCTTCCCACCTCAACCGTTCTGTGACTTCATAGTAAGCTGAGCTTGCTCAACCATTTTAATACCACCAAATAAAACACTGCTCATCTGGGACCACAGGTCACACTCAAGTTATCCCTTCTCACAGTAAATTCCTCTGTGACCAACTGACTTCCAGTGGTAACTGCAGGGAACACTGTGGGGTCGGGGGGGACGCCATTAGCAAACAGAACCACACAGGTAGAAAAGAAAGTTGCTTTTACTTCCCCACTCAGCAGCAAAACCAGTGAAAGGAATGTGGAAAAGGCATGAGCTGGGGAGGAGCCATGGACAGCTACAATAACTGAGTCTGGAAAAACCTGCCAACAGGGCTGGGAATTTAAGCCGCCTTTAGTTTATTCAAGAGGTAGCCAAGGCAAAATGTTATCATAGTCTGTACCTATGTGAAAAGGTTCCCACTGCTAACAGAAATCATTGTGAAACTGTGCAACTATGGAAATTAAATCTAGGCATGTTTAAACTGGAAAAGGCAAAACATGAGCACTGAAGGACTCGGCGGGGGG